TCTCCCTCGCTCTGTCGCCCAGGCTGGAGTGCAGTGGCAGCAGTCTCAGCTCACTACAACCTCCGCCTCCCGAGTTCAAGTGATTTTCATGCCTCAGCCTCCCAAGTAGCGGAGATTATGGGTGTGTGTGCCACGCCCAGCTCATTTTTGTATTTTTAGTAGAGACAGGGTTTCACCACGTTGGTCAGGCTGGTCTCAAACTCCTGACCTCAGGTCATCTGCCTGCCTCAGCCTCCCAAAGTGCTGGGATTACATGTGTGAGCCACTGTGCCTGGCCATGATGCCAAAGGCTTCTAAGCAGGTCCTAGTCATGGTGTGACTGTGGCTATCATTTTTGCCAGAGGCAGCTCAGATCACGGGGAAAAAAGCGTGTGAGAGGATGAAAGATGTCATCAGAAGAGGAGTGGAACGGCAGGTGGCCGAGGGCATGTTTGAAAGGGCCCAGGAAAGGATGCAGCACCAGTTTCAGCAGCTGAAGGTACTCTACGCCCACAGCCCGGATCCCAGACCCCGGGGGGCCCTGGGGGAGGAGGGGAAGCGGTCGCAGAAGGTGGAAGACATAGTAGGTATTTGGACCCACATGGGACAGACACTTTCTGGGGCTTCGACTTGAGAGCTGCAGCTCTGCCAGCACTGCCCTGCGCCCCTCCTCTCTCCTAAGTCACCAGTGGCACCGCAACTGTGGTAGCTAGACATGTGCTCAGCATTTACAGACATTGGCTTGTTTAATCCCCAGCAAGTCTGTGGGGCAGGTACTAGCATTGTTCCCATTTTATAGAGAAGAAAATTCCGGCAGCGAGAGGTGTGTCAATCAGCCACACAGCCAGGGAGATGCACGGCCAGGATTCAGGACCAGGGAGCCTGGCTCCAGCAGGTCCAGCAGCAGCATGATCTCAAAACAGATTGTTTAAAGAGGGAAATGTCTTGTCTACGCAAAATGCCAATAAGTAGATAGCAATACCGTACTGAAGGCCAGTGACGGTACCTAGCACACATTCAGCTTTAGTTTTATCTACCCCAGAAGACAGTTTCTGATGGTTTCCTTGGACCTAAATGCTTCTGTCAAGCCTGCTAGGACCACCTTGCCTCTGCTCTGGGCCTCATGGCTTGCCACCCTTTTTCCCCCAAATAGTAGACATCCTTGGAGCCCGTGCCACTGTGGCTCCCTCCCTGGCCATCTGAGGCTCCACATTTTCTGCCTCAACCCAAGCTGGCTGATCCTGTCTCCAGGCCCTCAGGGAAGCTGGCCCATTGCTATCTCAGTCCACCTCCGAACTAGCCTTCTCGAATCATCTCCAACCTGTTTCTGCCCAGTTGTCTCTCCTCTACCAGGACTGCAGCTTTGGAAAATATCTTTCTTTACAATTCAAAGCATGTCTTTCCCCTTGGAGAAGGCTAAGAGGCATCTTGTTACCAGCAGCAGTTCAGTTTCAATCCTTTCACATGTTATCACAGTCTACAAATTCATGGGCAAGAAATTGGCTGAACTCCACATAGCCGGTTCCGGTTTCCCCACTGAATACATAGATACTGGATCTTAAGACTCCCAGGAAACAATGTAACTAAAAAAAAATGTGTATGTACAGATGTATCTTCAATTACAGAAACGTAGGAAGTTAAAACTGGGCGAGATCACAGAGTGTTCCCATTCTGTGATCTTTTTTGTTTTGTTTTGTGTTAAGAATGCCAGTTGGCTGGGCGTTGTGGCTCACGCTTGTAATCCCAGCACTTTGGGAGGCTGAGGTGGGTGGATCACAAGGTCAGGAGATTGAGACCATCCTGGCCAACATGGTGAAATCTCGTCTCTACTAAAAATAAGAAAATTAACCAGGCGTAGTGGCACATGCCTATAATCCAGCTACTCAGGAGGCTGAGGCAGGAGAATCGCTTGAAGTAGGGAGCCAGAGGTTGCAGTGAGCTGAGATCACGCCATGGCACTCCAGCTGGGTGACAGAGCAAGACTCAGACTCCATCTCAAAAAAAAAAAAAAAAGAATGCCAGTTAACTTTTAATTGTTATTGTTTAAAATATTTTAGTTCTACACAACAGATGAAATTTATTTTTATATGTAATGTCTGAAGATTTACTGTTTTTTAAAAAATGACCTCTTTGCAATAGTCCTATAAGTTAAATAATAGAATACCATTTCGTTGACTATACAGATTAGTCTCTGATATATTGATCTGTAATGTGGCTTGCTGCTCACTCTAGAGTGAGGTGACTGCCTCTCCTGGTTTAAGAGCTGTGAATCTCTCATTCCCTGATCTTAGAGATGAGGAGGTGGAAACCTAGAGGCCTTGAGTTACAAGTTCCAGGCCCACTGCTAGAGCTGAGACGCTGGAATCTAGAATGTTAGCAAAAAAGCCCGGAGATCCAGCTTCCCAACTAGACTCTGCCAGACTAGAGGAAGGAGCCTGACATTTTTTCAAAGGGAGGCAAGAAACGGAAGAGGGAAGAAAGGGGTTTTAGTTGATAAAAGAACTAGGAGTAGCAAGAAGACACCTCTCAGGCAGTTGGGAAGAATCAGATGTGTACCGTAAGGTGAGTGGCACAGAGCAGGTGTCCAGCAAACATTTCCCCAGTGAGCAGATGCATAGAGGAGAGGACAGTGGGAGAGTGGCCAGCTCATTCCCTTTTTTTCCGTCTCTGCGATTGCCCTTCTTCTCCCCGCCAGGCCTCCGGGCTTCCCCATTAGCTCCTGATTTGATCAGCTGACACCAGAGCTTCCGTCCCGCACGAGTCTGTAGGCGGGGAGGGTGATGCTGTCCAGGTGGTGGGAACCCACAGAAACGTTGTCTTGCTGCTTCCTGGGCCTTTCGGTTTCCTCAAAAGTCTGTACTTTCTGTGGCTGGGAGACTGTGTGGGGTTCCTTTGATAAGATCCACTTTCCCTTGGGCCGCACCGTCCTAACAGAATGAATGTTCTTGTCATGTAGGCTGGGATTGTGGAGAAAGTGAAGGGCAGTATCGCCACCATGCTGGCCCTCGCCTCGTCCCAGGGGGATGGCCTCTACAAGGAGCTTGCAGGTAAATACGCCAAAGCTTTGCATGCAGGCAGATTTTGCAGACGGCCCTGGCCATGGCGGCTTCTTCCTGAATTTAAAGGTCTTAAGTCAGGAAGAATGACCAGGGCAAGGAATGGAGATGATGATGATGATGATGATGATGATGAGGATGAGGATGAAATGACAGCCTCACCCTTTGCTGAGCACCCAACTGAGAGCAAACATTATACTCGGGCTTGTGCTCATGGTCTCACTGAATTCTCACATTAGTTCCCCGGGATAGATGTTATTGCTCCATTTTGCAGATGCAGAAATAGAGACTCACATTAGGAAATGTGCCAAAGGCCCCGTAGCTGGAAAGCCGCTAATTTAAATCCACAGCTCTGCCCTGCTTACTCCATAAAGCCTGTCTTTGAAGTTGATGCCTCCTTGTGAAAAACTTCATTGTCTGGCGATGGTGGAGAAAGGCTTTTCTTAAGCCACCTGGGGCCTGGGGATGCAGCACCCGCTGTGGACCTTGGGGTAGGCAGCCGTGTCCCTTTCAGGCCGTGGGCTCCACCAGGCCCCCGGTATAAACTGGAGAGTGTAAACTGGTACAAAAAGCAATTGGGTAATGTCTCGCCAGATTTAAAATGCACATGCCATTTGGTGCAGCCATCCTACTTGTAAGGTTTTACCCTGCAGATATTCTTATATGCGGGGAGAATGGCATATAGACACCGTTGTTCAGAGTAGCATTGTTTCTAACGTCAAAAATTGGGACAACTCAAATATCTGTAAGTAAAGCACTGTGTAAATTAAATTAGAGACACAACCAGTGGAAGGCTAAGCAACTGTTAGAAAAATAAAGCAGCTTTATAAGTAATGGTATGAAATGATCTCCAAAATATATTACAAAGTGAGTAAATGTGTATGATATGTTGCCATTTGTCAGAGGGGAAAGAAGGAAATACATACTTATATGTTTGTATGTGCATAAAAATCTCCGTGGGATACACAGAACACTGGTAGTACTGGTTGCCTCTAAGGAGGGAAACTGGAAGCCTGGGGG